ATAAATGTTACTGGGGAAACTGGGTATCCAAGTACAGAAAAATAAAATTAGGCCCTTACATTTACAAAAATTAACTGTAAGTGAATTAAAAACTTAATGTAAAAATGTGAAACTTCAAAAACGACTAACAATCATAGAGGAAATTCTTTGTGATGTTTTCCTAGACTTTGGCTATGGTTTAGTGTCTTTCCACCCAGAAAGATTGTGGCTTAATGGTTCCCCCTTTGTCACCCCAGAATCTCACAGGAAACCTGAGAGCTCCAGGGTCTACAAGTTTGTGGCACATGTTAAGAATTTAATTTACACATATCTGATCAGCCATAAATACCTCTTTTTGGATCACTTTATGAATAATCATGTACTGTAACAAAACCAAGATGAATTTTGTGTTCTGATCTGATCTAAAAATAATTAAATTGTACTAACCAATTTAATTTTCTAGCCAAAACTTAATGAGATACCTGAGTTTAGTCTCATATTTTCCATATTATTTTTTATTGTTTATGCTTTCTTGATCATTTTGGAAATTGCTGTGGCCCTGCCCCTTCCTTTCCCCTTTCAGCCTGTCTGCCTCAAGGAAAATCAGTCCATCACCTCAAGTATAAGCTCAAGTATCAGCTGAGGGTTGGGCAAGTGTATGGAGATTCTGTCTCTACAAAATATTCAAAAATAGACAAGCTGGATGGCTTGTGCCTGCGGTTCCAGCTACTGAAGAAACGGAGATGAGAAGGCCCCTTGAGCCTGGAAGATCAAGGCTATGAGCCCTGACTGCATCACTGCACTCCAGTCTGGGGAACAGAGCAAGACTCTCAAAAAAAACAAAAAGTATAGTCTCAAATAACCACATTGAAAAGAATGTCAAATTGCACTCACATATAGTGTTACAATAAACCATATTATTAATAATTATTTTCTAAAATTCTGTCATATTCCTCCTATGACCCAGAACAAAGACTTCCTTCTCATTTTCTCTATAATATTCAAGTGTATCTTACCTACTCTCCACTGAGACATACAAATTATCTGTTTAATATTTTAAAAAATGGTTTGAAATTATTTAAATAATAACTAATAATGTAATAAAAACAGATTTATAAAGTAATTGGGAAGATATATAGGTTACCTGTGTGAAAGTAAATGTGCTAAAAACCTGTTCTTCCATAGTAGAAAGACAGCAAGTAATGTCTAAAACCAGAATAAATATATAAATGTGATTTAAATGTGTTTTCAGACTATGGAGAAAAAAAATACCTGACAAAACAGCTGTGGTGTTTGAATACTGTTACTACAGAAGCAAACTTGGATAACAGGTGAATAGTAGGAAAGAGAGCTCCAGGTTTTCATTGTAAGCCTCAAGTGTAATTTGTCTTTTTAAATGATGTACACATATTACTTTAATATGAGTAAAAGCAAAATAAAACTTAGTAGAATTCCATAAATATAAGATTAGCAGGTCCTTATATTTAAGACATTTTACAAAGACACTTTACACATAAACAGAGGATACCGGCAATTGAAGCATCTAGTTTAAAAATTTATATGGCAAAAGTACATTCCTACAATGTTTAAGCCTACTTAGGGCATATGTTTGTATTACTATGACAAAACTAGAAAGCAAGAAAAACTACATAACTAAATTACAAATGTGAGGATTCTCTTTTCAATCAGTGATCAGTTGTTTGATTATTTGGGGATGTGCTAATTAATTTTGCTTTGGACTCTAAAGACAAGTGTTAACATATAAATTTAATTAAATAATGATATGGCTTGGCTTTGTGTCCCTGTCCAAATCTCATCTCTTAATTGTAATCCCCACATGTGGAGTGAGCAACCTGGTGGAGGGTGATTGAATCACGGGGATGGCTTCCTCCATGGTATTCTTGTGATACTGAGTGAGTTCTGTGAACCCAGAAAATCTGAAACAGGTCTCAGTTAATTTAAGAAGTTTATTTTGCCAAGGTTGAGGACATGTCCATGATACAGCCTCAGGGAGTCCTCATGACATGCACCCAAGGTGGTGGGGGCACAATTTGGTTTTATACCTTTTAGAGAGACATAAAACGTCGATCAACATGTAAATGTACATTAGTTCAGTTTGGAAAGGAGGGACATCTTAAAGCAAGGGCAGGAAGACTAGAAGCAGAAAGGGAGCTTTCAGGTCACAGGCGGGTGAGACACAAACAGTTGCATTCTTCTGAGTTTCTGATTAGCCTTTCCAAAGAAGGCAATCAAGTATGCATCCATCTTAGTGAGAAGAGGGATAATTTGAATAAAATAGGAGGCAGGTTTGCCATAAGCAATTTCTAGCTTGAGTTCTCCTTAGTGATTTTGGGAGTCCAAGATATTTTCCTTTCACAGTTCTCACAAGATCTGATGGCTTGAAAGTATTTTTAGTTCCACTCCCTTGCACTCTCTCTCTTCTGCTGCCTTGTAGAAAATAAAAATAAATAAAAGTTCCTCTTCAAATCTTTCCTCTTAGTTCATTATAAATAATAGCTTCTTTTAAAGTTAGTTTACTCTAGACCATTTGCTAATACTCCTGAGTAACTGTTAGTCATAATAAAGAAATAAGTGTATCCAATGTTCTTAGTTCTTACGCTTTAACCTAGGTATTTGCCCTGACATGCCTGGACAAGTCCAGACAAGTCTTAGATCATAGCTTATTCCTCTTCCTTCTTTGGAGTAGTTTTGCCTCTCTAAGAATTCCTCAAGTTACTTTCTCTTTTCCTTTGTTCTTTTCTGCCTTTACCTATTTAGGAAAGTTTTCAGTTGTCAGCCAACCAGGTGCAGCCTAGATTGTGAGGTCCAGTTCCAGCCAATGGAATCAGGGCACAGTAGTAGGCCAGATGTGTTAAATATAAATGGCTCTGCCACCTTTGTTCTGTGTACTTTCCTGGCAAACTGCTGGTGAGTGTACCCTTTCTGCAGAAAGTAAAGTTGCCTTGCTGAGAGAAAATTTGTATTCAAGTGCTACTTATTTTGCAGCACTGAAAATTTACATACATCACTTGTGAAGAAAGTGCTTGCTGTTTGGAGGCCTCCCAGTCATGCAAATCTGTGAGCCAGATAACCCGAAAATGTGGAATAGACTTTAGAACTGGGTAACAGGCAGAGGTGAGAACAGTTTTGAGGGATCAGAAGACAGGAAGATGAGGAAAAGTCTGGAACTTCCAAAAGACTTGTTGAATGGTTTTGACCAAAATGCTCATAGTGATATGGACAAAGAAGTTCAGGCTGAGGTGGTCTCAGATGGAGATAAGGAACTTCTTGGGAACTGGAGCAAAGTTCCTGCTATACTTTAGCTAAGAGAGTGGCAGCATTTTGGCCCTGCCTTAGAAGTCTATGGAACTTTGAACTTAAAAGAGATGATTAAGGGTATCTGAAAGAAGAAATTTCTAGGCAGCAAAGTGTTCAAGATGTGACCTGGTTTTTCCTGAATGCATACAGTGATATGCATTCACCAAGAGATTATCTGAAACTGAAACTTTTGTTTTAAAAGGAAGGCAGAACATAACAGTTTAGAAAATTTGCAGCCAGACCATGTGGTAGAAAAAAAACCATTTTCTTGGGAGAAATTCAACTGATTGACTGTAGAAATTAGCATAAATAAAAAGTTGAATATTAGTAGCCAAGACAATCGTGAAAATGTCTCAATCATCACAGCAGCACCTCCATCACAGGCCTGGCGGCCTAGTGGCTGTGTCCCAGCCACTCCAGCTCCAGTCAGGGCTAAGAGGTACAACTCACATCTCAGCCATTGCTTCAGGGGGTGCAGGCCTCAAGCCTCAGTGATTTCCACATGGTGTTGGGCATGTAAAATTGGCATGTGGGTGCACAGACTACAACAGTTGAACTTTGGGAGCTTCTGCCTAGATTTCAGAGGATGTCCAGAAACGCCTGAATGCCCAAAAAGAAATATGCTGTAGGAGCAGAGCCCTCATGGAGAACCTCTACTAGGGCGATGCAGAGAAGCAATGTGGGGTTGGAGCCCCCACACAGAGTTCCGATTGGAGTACTGCCTAGTAGGGTTGTGAGAAGAGGGCCACTGTCCTCCAGAACCTAGAGTAATAGATCCTCTGATAGCTTGCACTGTGCACCTAGAAACACTCAATGCCAGTCCACGAAAGCAGCTTTGGGAGGGTGGCTGTACCCTGCAAAGCCACAGGGGCAGAGCTACCTAAGACCCATGCCAGGCGACACTGGGCATGTCTTGCACCAGTGTGCCCTGGTTTTGAGATAGGGAGTCAAAGGAGACTATTTTGGAACTTTAAGACTTAATGAGTATCCTGCCTGGTTTTGGACTTGCATGGGGCCTGAGGCCTCCTTATTATGGCCAATCTCATATTTGGAATGGGAACTTTTACCTAATGCCCATATCCCTATTATATGGTGGAAGTAATGAAGTTGTTTTTGATTTTACATGATCCTAAGATCTTGCCTTGTCTCAGATAAAACTTTGGGCTTGGACCTTTGAGTTAATGCTGGAATGAGTTAAGATTTTGGGGAATTGTTGAGAAGGCATGTTAGTTTTAAAATGTAAGAAAGACATGAGATTTGGGAGGGGTGAGGGGCAGAATGATATGGTTGGGCTCTATGTTCCCACCCAAATCTCAAGTCAAAGTGTGTCGAGGGAGGGAGGGACCTGGTGGGAGGTGATTGGATCATGGGAGCAGTTTTCCCCATGCTGTTCTTGTAATAATGAGTTCTCACAAGATTTCATGCTTTAACAGTGTTTGGCAATTCCCCTCTCACTTTCTTTCTCTCCTGCTGCCTTGTGAAGAAGATGTTTGCTTCTCCTTTCACCATGATTATAAGTTTCCTAAAGCCTCCTTATCGATGCCAAACTCTGAGTCAATTAAACCTCCTTTCTTTACAAATTATCCAATCTCTGACAATTATTTATAGCAGTGTGAAAATGGACTAATACAAATGAGTATATAAAATATGAGTATCTGTAAAAATATGAAGTGATTTTTGAACATTAATGAAGCACCTGATTTCAGTGATTTTTTTTTCTCAGTTTTTATTTAGAAAGTTTAATGAAATAAACATGGTGTCACAGTTTAGAAATACTTTAATCTCACTTTAACATTGTAAAAAATCTACTAATTTTTGATTTCCAACAGTAAAATTTATAAAAATAATTTTATATTTATAAAATGAATTGTCATTTCACAATAAATTATCCATTTCTATTACCTGAAAAAAAAGTTGTATACTATATAAAAGCAATAACTTCCCTTATCAATGTTTTGAATATATGCTGAAAACATCAGTTTCTTTTTTCCAGCATCTTTGGCAGTTCAATATATAAAAATATAATATTTTAAATTCCCTGACCATAGTTATTGAAGCAGAATCATCACTAATAATTTCAGAGACCTAGCTGTTTAGTAAATATACATGAATAAATTACAAGTTTCACTAAAAATAAATTTTATCTTTTATACTTTAAAGGTATTTGCTATTTTCTGAACCTTTGTGTTTTCCAAAATTCATGTGCTGACACCTAGTCCCCAGAGTGATGGTATTAAGAGGTGGGGCGTTTGGGGGGTGATTCAGTCATGAGGATTAGTGCCTTTATTAAGGAAACCTGAGAGAACTAACTTCTTCTTTTCATGTGTAAGGACACAGGCTAGAAGTTGCCGTGTATGATCCAGAGGCCTAATTTGTTGATTCCTTAATCTTGGACTTCCCACCATTGAGAACAGTGAGCAATAAATTTCTGTTTTTTATAAGCTACCTAGTTCATTGTATTTTGTTACAGCAGCCTTCACAGACCAAGGCAGTATGTTTTTTTTAATATCTTCTAAGGGAACCTCCCAAAAAAAGTAAATGAAAATCTATAAAAGATAACATTCTTATTTATGAAATAGAAACTACAGTAAATTTTCAAAAAATAAAAGTTAAAAAATTCCCCCTACCTGATATGTTTTACAGTTTCACAGGGGTACTAGTTCTTGAAGGAATTATATTAAACATATCAAATCAATGATAGCTTTTTAATGATCATTTTTCTACTTTAAGAGTTCAATTTTACTTTACAAACCAATAAGTTACTTAATATTACTATAGCCTTTTTACTTATAGGGTAAGTGGGAGATATGACATCATAATCTAGCTATTTTTAAAAGTCCTGAGACAGATTATTTAATTTAATCTGTTACAACTTGGGATCCTCTTTTAAAAAATATATTATTGATAATTACTCTACCAGTTTTTCCAATTTTCCTTCTCCTCAACCAGAGAGGAATCACTGCCTCCTGAGGTGGCCCATGCTTAATTTGTTTTAAAATAAATTCCAGCTTTAGGTGATATCAGAGAGTTTAGGTCTCCAATGAACTGTACTCCTCAGTCTAGAACTTGACATTCAATACATCCCTGGGCTGCTGGATTTTAAAAAATCTGCTAAGCCAGTTATTTTGCTTTGTTTTTGTTTTCATCAAAATCTATCTGGTGAATCTTTTATTTTTTCTAATGACTTGTTAAAACTACAAAAGGAGTTTTTTATTCAAGCCACAACAATTTTACACTCAGTGCTTATCTGTAAATATATATGATAGGCAACATGATGAATAGTATCCAATCATCACTCAACTGCATATATTTAAAAAGCCCACTATGAGGAAGAAGTTCACATTTTCATTCCACAGTAAAGATTCATTCAAGTCAACTAGAGCTGGGCTTGAATGTGGTTCTCTTACTCGTTACGTTTATGAACTTTGGTTATGTTCCTTAAACCCGCAAGCTAAAGTTTCCCTTACTTATAAAAGAGAGATGATGATATCTTCCCTAAAGTGTTATTGTAAGGACTAAATGAGGAAAAAGGGTGGTAGATGGCTAACTTGTCCACAGAATCAGTTTACTCAGAGTGGCATGGCTTTGGCTGACACAGGCTTTGCACCTACAGATAACTCTCCTGGCCACTCTGGGGACCAGCTGTGGGTATATGCTAATTTCTAGTCAATGGATAACTATTTCTAAATCAGAAAAAATAAATAGATGCCTCTATTGGTTGAGTCACTGTTTTAGGGGTTTCTTTGTTACAATTTACCCTGTATCCTAACTGATAAACCCAACATGTTTTAGCTTAACACACATCTTCAAATAAAGTCAGATTTCAAAAAATATCCAGTCATCCTTGGAATGGCTTTTTATAATTTTCTAATCTTAAGATAGGAATATTTAACTGTAAAACAAAGAGTTAATTCTTTGCCACAGAATGTCCATAAAAAATTCTTCTTGAAAAAGATACAGCCTATTCTACAGGAACTGCTTTATTTTTCTAATTTGCAAGTTTATAATTTATTTTTAAAAACTTAGCTCATTTTATATTAAACTGGTTCTGAACTACTATTCTCAGTCAAATATCAACACTTTGTTCTACATCACATCACAATGAAGCAATTATTTACAGATTTAAATTAACATTAATGAAACAAATGAAAGTCATACATAAGATTCAGTTGGTTCAGGCACAGTGTAGGAGCAGTTGGAAAAAATACCCTAAATAAACATCTTCAAACTCAGCTATACATTGGTTGCAGGTGAAAGTTTTACATAGTAGCAACAACAAACAGAATGAACATATAAACAAGAAAATAGGACACCATCTTCTAACAGCACCATGAAGAAGCCTTGGCTAAGAGTTTGCCAAAAGTACTATCCTGAGATATTTCAAGACCAACAACTTTTCACATTTATGTAGTGCCATTCTGAAGTAAACACATTTTCACAATTGCTTTTGTTTGGAGAGATGCTGGTGTGAAATGACTGATGCTTGGTTTGCAGCTATTTTGTACTGTTCTTGCCCAGAGCCTTGTGGTGGGGAAGGGAGAGGAGTTTCAGGAGTTGCTGAAAAAGAATTAGAGAATTGCATGTGATATGATGGTGGCAGTCAGCTTTCTTCACCCCATTAAACCCTACACAACACCAATACACATTAGCATAATTTGGAAATGTTTTTAAAAGATCCTATATAGAGCAGTGATTTGTAGAATGCATTATTGGCCTATGACTTACTGTTAGAGAGTGCTCTCACCTTACCTCCCCAAATAGCATTAAATAGAAAGAGGTCGCGTTAAAAAAAATTTTTCATGTCACTTTAGGGTGCTTTTTGCCTTTCTTAATAGCATTTAGAAGCATTTGATTCTCTAATAAACGTAGCAGGGAAAAAGACAATGAAAAGAACTAACAGAAGAATAGTTTTCTCAAATATTAGAAAGCAATCTTTATAATTCTTACAATCAAAATTCACAAAAAATAAAAATATATTTGTTTGGATTCCACTAATTCAGACATATTAGATGACAGAAAAAATTAAGGTTAAGATATTTTATAAATGTTCTGAAATCTAAGTTGTAGTCAAAAGCATCTCTAAAATACTGCCTTTTTTTTGCTTCTAAATTATTCTATTACAATCGAGCTTGCCTGTCCCATCCCCTCTGATGCAAAGAGCAATCCTGAGTAATTGAATAGAAAGTAATTGAATATAAAAAGATTGAATTGAACATAAAAAGTGACAGTTTCAATACTTCATTTTCTAGAATAGTATTTCTTTCTATTGTAAAATCTAACCATATTATAAAATAATCTAGGAGTTATTCTGTAATTTTTAGAAACTTGAAATATTTTAGCACTCATGCTTGTTATTACTGTATTATTCCACATAGTAAGCAGAACTAACAGAAAATGTTAGATGATCAGATTGAGGATTTGTAAATTTTATAGCTTATTTCTCAACAGTTTCAAAACATTACATACAACACAAGAACAATCTCCCTTTGCCTGGTATTCATTAATGCATTAGCTTTATATTATTGATAAGTATGGATTAGCAATTACTTAGAAAGAAAAATTTTAAGTGCAGTTTAAATGACAAATGTATCAAAATCTGCTTTAAAAATTATTTCTGGCTATTTAGAATGGATCTAAAACTACAGTAGCCTTTATAAAATAACCTAAATTTTTGGTTGTGTTTAATATCCTGCTTTGCATAAAATATAAATTATTCCAAATAATCATAGTAAAGTTAAGTTTTCTTTTACAAATAAATCCCACAAATAGTACGTGGAAAGAGCAAGAATGAAAATGAGTATAACAATGTGATTTTTAAAAGAGTGGAGTCAGCAAATATGTTTTTAAAATACTAGAACACTAGCCCTTAAAAAGTAAAGAATTCAACCACCAGCAGAACTGTCCAACTCTCTTGCCAGTTGACTCCTACAATGCTTAATGTGTTTTATTTTCCGAATTTATGAATAACTGATTTTTAAAAGACATAACTCCACAATTCTTTAGTATGGTGTTAGACTTGCCCTTCTCTTTCTGCTCTTGATTAACTATTAAATGAAAATGGTTACATCTATTGTGCAAGGAAGCTCCCAAATAATGTCTTTCAAGTACATTGGAAATCCCAGATTATGCCATATTTTTCTATAATTTATATTTTTTCCTAACAACTTCATTTCTTCCTCTCTCTTGTATACTAAAAGAATTTTGGTTTCAGATACTATTTACAAAAATATCTACCTGTGTTTGTATCTAAAAGAGCATGGGAGCATACAGCTCTGTAGCCTCTATGCACCCTATTAATGGCTAGAAATCAGGTGGTACTTGCTAAATTGTTGTGGCATTGCATACAACATTTGGGGGAAAAAACAATGTTGTAGCTAGTTATTAAAGACTCCTGTAAATTCAGTAGGCAATAAAAGTATGCATAACAATCACATCACAACTCAAGTCATCTCAGCGAGTTAGCGGGTTTGGTGTTCAGAGGCAATAGATCAAAGGTAAATCTAAGCTTAATTAGTGGAAATTCAGAAGAATTAATCAGTTAATCTAGATATTTTATCAAATAATTAGAGATTTGTATCACCAGAGTAGCTTAGAAAAATAGCATTAGCAGGAAGTCTACAATAATAGATGAACTTAAACACTAGCAATCTCTATAGTATTTACATAGTCATTTGTGTTCCAAGGAGTTTTCATAAGCAATCCTCACTGCACAATTCTGATGTGAATGAATTGTAGTTACCATAGCTTAGTTAAACAGCACCAGTCTGGCAACATGGTTCAAGTTTCAGTGACCACGGTAACTTACAATTAAGTGAGTTAATTGAATAAATACAGACTCCACTGCCAACTCTTCAGTCGGCAAACAAGTACCTGAATAACAGATGTGCTTTATGATAAATGGCTGATTATGTCACAACTTTTAGTCTGTCCATGATTGGTCATTGAGCATCTTTTATTCAGTTCAGGCATGGAAAACAAACTGCATACGGTGGCTGTGTTGCCTCCTTGTTTCTTAGTGGAAAATTTACATGACATTTTACAAAATTGAATAATTAAATTAGAATTAACCAACAAAGGTAAAAGTGCAGAAAAGGAATAAAAAGTGATAATGCTGGAAGTGACATACAAATAGAACACAAACAAAGTCACAGAAGAAGTAGCTGACCATGGGAATGTCGCTGATGCTGCTGTTTGAGTCTCTACATATGCAGCCAGGTACCTAGTGAAGGCAAACGTGTCCACATAAATGAAAAAGCTGGATATGTTGAAAAGGGAGAAGATGTCCCAAAAGAAGTGAAACCAGCAAGAAAATGTCACATTAAGTGAATTCTCGGAAACATATCAGAACACTGAGAATGCAATGGATAAAATGTTGAAAGCTGATCCAAATTTCCCACGAGTAAAACTCATCAGGGTGTAGAAAAGATCCTCACTTCCTAATTTAAGTTTTAGAATGGGACAAGAACTGTTCAAACTGTGTTTCACAATTGTTTTATAAAGAAATATAACACTTTGATTCTCAATATTGCTAATGTTTAAAATTATAGTGTATCAACTGAAATGTTTTATACTCAATTCCACAAAATAAGTATAAAGATTACATTTATTTTGTTTCCATAAACATTAAGAGAGTTCTCAATGTTTTGACAAACATTTTTAAAGGTCTCAAGCAGTAAATAATTTTCCCATTGATTATTAAGGTTGCCTTGCATGGTTTCAGCTTGCATTGCTGTTTTTATGGTCTCACACTACCACGCAAAGCAAGAACTACTAGTATACTCTTTTGTACTCCGCAGACCTGTGAGGTAGAAAGATTTTTCCTACATTTTCATTTTAAGAAACACACTTATGTTTAGGGAGAATAAGTGACAAGCTGAGTAACAATATGTTACTGCTGAGTCCCAGATGGGAAATTACACCAAGTTTTTGCCATTTCTGGTTACTAATAGATTCTTCCCCACAATTCCACTTTTTCTTGGATAATTAAGAAATACAGTGGTTGAAAAGTAGCCTACATACTTACAGATCTGGTCTGCATGAACCAGTGTTGACATGGGACCTAAAAGTATAGTTTGTCCGGTTAATGGATCCTGAGACAAATGTGGATGCATTGGATGATGGAGATGACTACTATCATTGGAAGCCCCTACACAAGATAAAAATAAGCTTTGTTAGTGATATTTAATCAGGAACAGCAAGTTTACCTTGAAACAAATGTTTTGATTGACAGCTTAAATATTGCTATTTTTGCCAAGTGCTTTTTGGGAATTCAAAAATAAATTGACAGAACCACTGGCATATTAAGAACAATGTCAGCTTTCACTGTACATTGGCTAGATTAATGTTGTATCATATTATGTTGTATATTAATAATGGACCTTGTGTGCCATTTCCTGGAATCATTAGGTTTGCTGACTGTTGTTAAGACAATTCCAAGAATCACTTACCTCAAGTTTATAGTATTTGGAATGACAGTAATAGCATGAACAACTTTCATTTCAGAAAGATATCATTAGGAACACATTATGCACCAGAAAACTAAAAATAAATATGATAATTTTGCAAGGAAATTTAACCTAGATCTGAATGCAAAATAAATGATTTCTTAACTTATTCCTGACATTTATTGCAACAATAAAACATCATTTTCCCCTTCTACTATTTTGTGTCAATTAATTATTTTAGGAGCACAGTGTTCATTTTAAGATATATATATATATATATATATATATATATATATATCTTATAAATATATATATATATAAAATTAGGTTATATTGCAATTCCAGTATCCTTGAGGTTTTAAATAACTCAGGGCATGAAAAACCATGATATATTTGACGAGGTCATATAAACAGGAAATTTCTTTCTGTTTGCCATGTTTGGAAGGATCTGAAAATGGAAATCAGAGGGGCTGTGGAGTAGAGGTAGTAGAGGGTAATAACAATGAGGATTTGAATCTGTTCAAGTATTTTTGTCTCTCTGACAGGTCTTGCAAACTTTCTAAATGTAAAAACTTGAGTTCATTATGTCATAGCAGAAGAGAAAAATTCAGGAGCATCACAGCAACTTCAACAGATGAATTAAATATGAACAAAAAAATTGATAGGTCAAACCTATATTTTGTGAAATTCTAACCAATAAAGTAGAAATTCTTCAATGTACTCACCACCTAGTAACATTTCCTGAAGTAAGTTGTCAATTTTAACCATCCCAAAAAGTTTAGCGAACTGTATTTGCTCAATCATTTGCCAAGTGATGCTCTGCAGTGTGGGCAGGAGCAGAAGCAACTCTCCAAACCTCCCCCGGGAGTCATACTGCCGATCATTGATGTAGTCCTCCAAACCAATCTGCACTTGGAATCGCATGTTCTTAATTTTTATTGGATCGCTTAGTCCTTTTGCATCTAACAAAGGAAGTAGGAAAGGCAGTGTAGAGATTTAACCTAATTAGAATGTGAGAGAGTAAATATGCTAATCTTGAAAAGTAGTTTAATTTTTATTATATTAATTCTTTAGTGGCACTTTGAAAACCAACCTGGATCAAAAAATACAATTGCCTTTAAACAAGCGTACTCATTGTCATCAATCTGGATTTCTTGAAACGGTCTAACCAGCTCATCTAGAACCCGATTGGCCACACGGCTAATCTCAACTTCACAGCTGTTGCGGTGAATAACGTAGTTGTTTCCTATGTGAGAGAAAACAAAAGAAAAATAACCACCTCTCCCAAAATTGTCAGCACTGCTTAAAATTTAACAAACCTGTGTTCAAAATAGTCTACCCTTTAAGGAATAGTGATGTACTTTCTCACTCAGTGGTGGTCTTAGTTATGCTAGAAAATCTTAAGAATGCTTAAAGGACTGATAACATTGATAATGTGATCACATGCATTTTAATGATCTCAGTCACTGGCGATAACACAAAAGTGCAAACTAATAACAAGCTAATAATTGACAAGAAAAATATCAGTATAATGATTAGTTTTTCTCTGTTTCAGTCATCTATTAGTTTTATGCACTAATGACTATAATGCAAACCCTAAAGAATCTTTCTTGTTTACAGCAGATTAAAAACACGACGTTGATACTCAAGGCATATAAAGGAGTAAACACTATTGAGACAGTTTTAACAAGCCTAAGTAATGGAGGCTGATTTTTTTAAACTAGCATGTGAATTATCATGAGTTGCCTCTGATAGTATGTTTTCTTTTCCTGGACTTCTTTAAATAGAAGTGGGACAACCACTTTATAAGCCTGACTTTAAAAGAGTTCAGAAAATGGGCAGAGAGCTGGAAGACCTAATCCCTAAAGATATTTCTAACTTAGAAATTCTCTGGCTATACTATGATGAACATTTTTATAGCTTCTAAAATAACAGCTAAATTGTTATTTTCTGGTTTTATAAAAAGACAAATATTCTAAATTCTTTCACTGCAGGCAAAGACAATGCTCAGGGTAACAGCATGTTCATCAGTAGCCTCATTCTTTTTTCTCCAGCTTTACTGAGGTATGAAGGCCAAAAAATTGTATATATTTAAGTCCTAAAATGTGATTTTTTTTGTTTGTTTTTCTGTTTGTTTGTTTGATTTTATACAGCATTTCTCTCTATTGCCCAGGCTGGAGTGCAGTGGCATGATCTTGGTTCACTGCAACCTCTGCCTCTTGAGTTCGAATGATTCTTGTGACTTAGCCTCCAGAGTAGCTAGGATTACAAGTGCCCACCACCATTCCCGGTTCATTTTTTGTATTTTTAGTAAGACAGGGTTTTACCATATTGGCCAGGCGGGTTTTGAATTCTGAACCTCAAATGATCCTCCCGCCTCAGTCTCCCAAAGTTCTGGGATTACAGGAGTGAGCAACCATGCCTGGCCCAGTGTAATGTTTTAATGTGTATCTACATTGTGATATAATTACCATAGTCAAACTGATTAACATATATTTCACCTCACATAGTTACTACCTTTTTTTGAGCGTCACTTTTTCTTTATGAAAAATTAGCTTACCTAATTATTCAGGGTAAATCAATTTAGAACTAAAATGTATATAGTGACACTTTGTTTTCTAGGTATATTGCATTCAGATCTATACAGAGAAGAGTACTCCAGGTGTTTACTAGAAATGCAGGAGAGGTATTTCATAGCATTTCAAGGAATAGTCTCCACAATCACAATATGTGGTTTAGAATCTCAGCTGTATTCTTTTCTAGCTTTGTAACCTTTGGTAAACTTTCTCTGCCTCCATTTCTTCATCCGCAAAATGGGCTGAAAATAATAATACTAATCCCTTAGGGTCATTTCAAGGATTAAATGAGAGAATACATATATATATATATATATACATGTAATGTACTTAGAGTGGTGCATTTACATAGTAAACCCATAGTAAACACATTACATAGTAATACTAGATATTGTTATATTATCTTCAATGTATTTATATTTGGGGCTAAAACATCTAGTGCAAAAATAAAATAATCTAGTCATATTTTCACACATGCCAGACAGAGGTAAAGCTAGTAAGTGTCAGAAGGCTCTCAACCCTCAAAATCTAATTGTGTAAGTTGAGTAAGATAAACGGATGAGAAAAATTAATGAAGGCAAAAGTTTTTTTTACCCACCAGCCCACACGTATTATCCCTCTTTTGCCTCTCCTAGTATTTCTGTCTATCAAAGTTGTTCAGTCATTACCACCAATACTTTTTTACTTGATCATTTTGTAGCATATCATGGGCTATTACGGGCAATACGATCATAGGATGTAAACATGTTTTTTAAAAGTGTATAAAATAAAAAGCAGACTCTGAAGAAGTGTGAAAAAACATTGGGACTCTATAAGGTGGCCATTTAAGTCACTAATTATTCATTCTGATATAATTTGAATATACCTCAATATTATGTTTGTTGAACAACATCTCTTTTTTATTTTTAAAACGTAATGTTCCCTGATCATCTCGTGGGCTCTGAACTTACATGCAGTCAAGGCAAGGAAAAATAAGGTCAAGTGAGGACACAATTAAATCCAATTTGTGAAGTGACAGCACCATTTGACAGTGTCTGCAAATACTTGGTACATACAGAACAGACCCTGCATATTATTGCAAGAATAAAATATGCATAATTTCTTTTTAAATTAAAAAAAACTTACCCAAAAGCAAAATATCTTTATACATCATGGATCTCTTTGTAGCTCCAAGCAGTAAGTGTTCCCCTGCGTGAGCTCTCAACAATGCCACCTTAAGAAAAAATTCTAAGTTTAACAATTAATTGTAATATATAATGATTAAAAGATTACATGAGTCTTGTTAACTTACAGTGTTCTTTCAGCCTGGGACTCTTTTTTGTTTTAACAAACTATAGTATTCATAGACAAATGTCATCATTAAGACTTCCAGTTTTCTATAATAGCATGTCAATAGATTTTACTTTAAAAATATTTTTAAACTATCTAGCAAGCCAATACAATGACAGTAGAAAAAAAAAAATCAGACAAGTTAGAAAAGCCAGCTGTTTGGAAGCTAAACAGAATCAAACAGATGAGAGTTCAAATCTCAGCTTGGCCACTTCCTACCTGTTTAACCTGGCATAAGTTAACCAGTATGTTTGGAACTTACTCATTTGTTTTCATCTATAAAATGGGAGCAAAGATAAAAAAAAAGTCTCAGTATGTACTCATGAGTACTAAATTATAAAACATATATAAAACATCATCTCCTGCATGTAATAAACTAAATAAATAAAAGCAATGCAAAAACTTGTAGTGAGGAAAAGATGGGAGGTCTGGGTTCTGCCACATTCTACAACGAACCTCTAACTCTTTGCAGAAAGCTCTCAACTGAGCTTCATTCGTACACTCAGTTACCTGCTGGGCATCACCACCAGGAAGTATAAAAGCATTACAAATGTAATACCTACCAAAGTAATGCTTCTCCAGTATCTTCATCTAGTAAATGACACCGTAATCCAAAGTGCTTGTTCACATCAAGATACTATTTTGAGTCCTCTCTAACTCCACAGCAAATTCGAGTGCTGATTCTCAAAAATATAAGCCAGAGTGATCCTCTTCTTTTCATCTCCAATGCTACCACCCCAGTCCACACTGAAAGCTCTTTAACGATTTCTTATTGTGGCCTCAAACGTGACCTCGCAGGTGATGAGAGGAGTGAGAGTGGGTCAATGCTTTGCCTCCCAGCCCTCGTGTCTCTGACTTCATCTCGCAACACCCCTTGTTCACCTTGTCCCTGCCTGACTCAGAACCTTGGACTTGCTGTTCCTGCATCTAGAGTGCTTTCTTCTCAGATTCTCCTGTACTTGGCCCTTGTCTTTCAGGATCTTAGGCAATAACTTCTCTGATCCTCAGTTTAAAGTATCTCTTTTCATTTAATCCCATTCTCCAACAACTCATCCTATTCCATTTTATAGCATTTTATAGAGATTATCTCCACTTAGAATGAACTTTCTCATAATTTGTGCATTTTTAAGTCATCTATCTCTCTCAAATAGAGTGTGCATTTATGAGACTAGTGAAAAAATCTGTATTTATGCTGCTAAATACCCACAGTTCTTAAAACTGAACACTAATATCCTAATAAATATTCATTTGATGAATTTATTGAATGAATTTTACTGATCCAGGGTTCAGTTTTTGAAACTGTAAAATGGAGATAATAACACCTGTCACAGAGTTCCTGAGATAACTACATGAAATAATGTAATTTATAGTGCAACTGAAAGCTAATTTCCCAGTGCCTTATCCATCATAGACATTTACTAATGTGTGGCTAAATAATAAATGTTATACTGTTAGTATTAAAGAATCAGTTGGTAAATAAAAACTAGTTTTTACTGGTTACTGGATTTTAATTTCCCAATTTTTAAATCATTGTATGTGTAAGTCAGCAACTTCTAAAGAAGAATGATAATAAAAATATAAAACTGATAAATAACTTTACTTATATTGCTTGGGGTGAGACTGGTAGGTTTTAGCAATTTAGCATTATTCACTCTGGCATAATCTTCTGAGCCAGGCTATCTTTATGATATGTCAATACTCATGACTCACACCAGGAAGGCAGTTACAGAGCATTTTAAGAATGATTTCAGATTTCACGATATTTTTTTCCCTGTCACCAGGCGAAATGCTCTCTTAAAAATAAATATTCACGGGATATAACACTTATCATGGTTAATTTAAGGTGAGAGAAATGGAATTTTTCAAGTTATTTTCATCTACAGAAAATTATACCCTACTTAGTAAGAATAGTTCAGAATGAATCTGAAACCAAAATGCTTATCTTCATAAATCAATTGGGAAATTCAAGTTTCTAACCTATTTATTAAAATGTCATAATGGACATATGACAAAATATGAAAATATAAGTATTAGTAAAAGATCACTATATCTTTTCTTCTGTAAATTTTACTTCTCTATAAATTTCTGATTATCCTTTTACAGATGTGTTTTGTTTTTGTTTTTGCCAGAACTATAACTTTTATACAATAAATACTAGAATAAAACTGACAGCATGAAAGGCAAAACTTTATGTTAATTGAGTGAAGTACCTACCAAGACAACACCACAACCTGTGTGATTTCTGTTTAGGAGTTACCTGGTATTTCTGAGGAGTTTCTACAGCACTTTCAGTAAACACCAAAGCACAATATGCACCATTTGCTTCACAGACACACACTCTTCTAATACTTTGCTCACAATGATAGTTACATGCTGCCTGCCTTTCTCCCTCACACAAACCTTTTAAAATTCCAAGAGGGCAGAGGAATGTTTTGTTCAGTTCTTATCCAATCAATAAATTTGCTACACCCCTAAAATAGAAGTCAAACAGTTGTGCCTCTCAATCGAACAAGGTGAATGTGTGAGAAAACCCAATCCTTTCTCATAATTTATCTTTTGTCAAATATAGTAATATAGTATATGCATTGCAAATAAAATGGAAAGAACACAAACTTAGCAAAGTTCAAAAAGCATTTTTAAAGCATTCAGAAATTTTTTAATTTATACCTGATCATCCAATGGTAATTCACAGAAGGCAGGAATATATTTAGCCCATTCCACCAAGACTAAGAGCTGCTGTTTCATTGATTCACAGACATCACCAATACTTGCAATTTTCTTAACATTTATGTCAGTGCTTGACCCAGGGCTTGTGACTGAGATCTAGCATTAAGAAGAACATTACGTTATCATTTAAAATAATACATGGCCAACATTCCCCTTTTTTCTTTTGACTATGATAAGACCATTGAATCAGGCACTATTGTTGTTACAGTATCTCACAAATGCTAAACATTTTAAATTGAAAAATAAAATACCTATTGGTTTACAAGTTAATTTAAAAACATTTAATATATAGCACTATCCTCTGGGAGCAGTATATTATGTTATCGGCCAAATCTGTACACTTAGTTTTACCCAAACTTTTGGAGAATTTAACAAGTCAAAATGGCTATACAAATAGATAGTATCCATATAAAATATGCTCTTTGATTTTATTTTGAATTAAAGGTGATATATTCTTTAATTTGTGAAAGTTTATGAAAAAAATGTTTTCATAAAGTTTACCCAGTTGAGGAGACAAGGAGCAAGTACTATTTGTCTCAATGCATTAAATGGAAGCCCATCAAAATTAAATTAAGAAAGCAATGTGTTACTCAAGGTGTTAAAGAGGTTAACGTATAATACTACATTTGTAAGGTTATATATCATTTTAGACTATATAAAAATATAAGTTGTGATAATAAAGCTTTTCTGCTGAAAGAAAACACAGTCTAAGAGTTTTTATAAACTTATTTTTGAACATGCATGTGAGTGTATCTTTAGCTGTATCTGAATATTTTCTCGTGGCTCCCCTTTAAGTGATTCTCTAAAAGCTTTATTGCCTATCAAGTAATCTTCAAGTAATAATGATAACAGTGATGTTAACCTCATCATATTACCCTTGTGTTATCAAAAATGAAAGTAGTTCCACTGACTCATTGTAGGACCTGATTAACTACTTGGCAATTTTATGATCTGCTTTATAATAGAAAAATATTATTAACATTTCTAATAAGGGCAATGCTAAAATAAGTTTGATTTAAGGATTCCTTCATTTGACACTAAATGATTTATTCTTGTGTATATAACTAATGATTTACTTTTTTTTTTTTTTTCAGATGGAGTCTGCTCTGTTGCCAGGCCAGAGTGCAGTGGTGTGATCTCAGCTCACTACAACTGCCTCCTCCCTAGTTCAAGTCATTCTCCTGCCTCAGCCTCCCGAGTAGCTGGGACTACAGGTGTGCACCACCACGGCCAGCTAACTTTTGTATTTTTAGTAGATACAGGGTTTCACCGTGTTGGCCAGGATGGCCTCAATCTGTTGACCTCATGATCCGCCTGCTCCGGCCTCCCGAAGTGCTGGGATTACAGGCGTGAGCCACCAAACTTGGCCATGATTTACTTTTTCAACTGTGGAACTGATATTTGAGAAATTTTAAATGATTAAGTTTTCTTTCTTCTGTGTCTTCTGAATTCTGACTCTTCATTTAAATGTCTGTTTCCAAACCAGGTCCCAATAATCCAGAAGCCATTTTCAAGGAAAGAAGCTCTAATAACAAATCTCAACCAAATTCTCCCAAAGTTGTGGTAGCTGGTTGTACACCTTCAGTCAATAAAATACTGCCCCAGGGCTTTGTACTATTCATTGCTTTTAATTAACCTTGAAAGCAAACTTTTTTAAAAACAATCTTAGACTGAAGTTCATTTCATTTTTTTTCATTTATAAATAGTGTTGCTCAAAAATAGTCAAAGTTAAGTCAGCAGTCCCGCTGAAACTTTCAAGGTAAAACTCTTAAATATGTGTAGATGTAACTTATTTAGTAATGAGCACATTTGAGTAAACTTAGATTGTTTTAGCGTGATGCCTAAAGGGACATTTGATTTTATCAAATAGGGCTGGATGCTGGCGTGCCGCAGGTACCTGGCGAGACCGAACTTCAGCTTGTGCCAGGGTGTTAATGGAGGGGATGTTGCTGCCATCAAATGTGCTTCTTCGGGTGCTTATTCTATCACGTTCATTCTGCACAGCTAGGGGGAAAAACACAGTATTCATTGAGCACTTCTCTTTAGTGTATGTTAGGATACAGCTTTTGAGGGTTTTTTAAGTTAAAAAAAAAAGTGAGAAAGGGTCTTTCTAAAAGACTGGGAGAAAGACAAGATATTTTCATTCTGTACTACTTTCAAAAAATAGGAATAGTCAGGCTTGTCACTAGAGCTCATAAAACATTGCCCTTCATGACATCATGCATGCTAGAAAGTGTTGGGTCAGTCAGTTCTGCCATGCTGTATTTTTAATAGGGTGGTTTTCTATTCTCTCAAAGTTAATAAAACCATAAGATAACTAGAGGAAGATCATTGCCTGTAAGATTGACCAGGTCAAAGATAAGAGTGTATTCACTGTCAAAAAAATATGAGTCATAGATTTTGAAACTTCCATTTTCTTTCCTCTATAAAACACTAGCAAAAGTGGAAAAGTAAGCTTTTTTTAGTTAAGATGATTTTAGGATTACAATATTATAATTTCTTATAAAACACCATCCACAGGACAGTTTACCAATACTAATAAAGCAAAAGTTGTACCAGGTAGCAGTCTCTTCTGAGAAAATTGACGTTTGAGCACCAGTATTTTGGAAAGATGGAGAAATCCTATATGTAATATAGGTTTCTAAGACAGAGCTAGATCTGCTTTTTCACTTTAGGATAAAAAAAAAAAAGAGTAATGTAAATCCCCAAATCTTTTACTAAAACTGAATTTTTAAATATAAGGAAAAGTGACAGGGGGAATATTAACTCACATGTTTATTATACAGAGAATAAAATCAGGCCAGCTGTGGCTCATGCTTGTAATCCCAGCACTTTGTGAGACTAGGTCAGAAGTTCGAGACCAACCTGGTCAACATAGTGAAACCCCATCTCTATTAAATATATACAAATTTGTCCCAGCTACTTGGGAGGCTGAGGCAGGAGAATTGCTTGAACCCAAGTCAGGGGTTGCAGTAAGCCAAGATCACACCACTGCATACCAGCCTGGGTGACAGAGAGAGACTCCATCTCAAGATAAAAATTTTTAAAAAAGAAGAGAGAGAGAATAAAATCAGTCAGATATAAAAGCTGAATTTAAAAACTTAAGAGGTAAAATTATCTCCCATTTGCCAAAGAGAAGGGAAATAAGGCAGGCAGCCCCTAAATTATTAGGTTATTAGGTTAAGCCTGCAATTTGTTCTCCTGGAAAAATCAGGTGTTAAAATATCATATTTTTCTGCAAATATGCTTTTATTAAAGAAAGCCACCAATTTCTATCCCAAAATCTAATAGATTTTGGCCAAGCAAAGACCCAAAACTTACTATTAAATATCAACTTCATTAAGTTGAAGGAGGAATTACAGGACATTTTGCCTTTAAGAAAGAGTAAGTTGTTTGTAAGTTGGAGTGAATCATTAATATTTTATTTTAAAATCATACTTACTGGTAGCTTGCTCTTTTTGCTTTACAGAAATTGTTATTGATTTTTAACCTAAACTGACTCATTTGGAAATGTATATGCAGAGATAAAAAATTAAGACATTAGCTATGCTTCTATGAATTTCACTTACATGATCATTCTTCAGAAAAATGCTAAAAGATATTGTAAACATTTATAATCTTCTCACTGCTATCCTTTTTGACATAAAACTGTTTCTATTTGTTTCCATCGAATTAATCTTGCTACTATGCTATTAGTGTAAAGAAGAGAAATACATCAACTTTGAAACTCAAAATTACTTTTTAATTTATTTAAGAAGATTAACACATTTTCTTATAAACAGAAGAAAAAATTTCCCTATTTTAAAACATAATTGCATTTCACAAATTGTAAAACTCATAAAAAATGTAGGATTGTTATTTGCTTACACTTTAGTGGGAATAAGGATGGGGTTCAAATAGAATGGAGGAAGGCAATTGACCAAGTGTGCAATTAATCCTGTAAACAGCCGAATAGAGCTTCCTATGAAATTAGAAGTAAATCACTCTTTAAGTGAGAAAGTGCTTCTTTTTTAACTTTGTGAACTTAATTTTTTGTCTTTGAGACTACCAAACTGAACAAAACTAATATGGTATTTTTGCATCCTTAAAATATTGAATGACAAAGAAAACTCTATGCTCAAGATGGGTTTGATATCTTTTACACTTCATTAGTATAGTGATTTCATTTGTTTCTTTATAGTTTGTGAAATAGTTGTGAAAATATCTCTTTGCATATAATAGGCATGAGCAAACAGCAAAACTGACAGGCATAAAATTTTGTAGCTGTTACACTCTGTCAAATGTTATGAATGTGTTCAATACATTTGTTTCTAAATTAATCATATTTAGAATAGAGGATATTATAACCAGATTACTTAATATATTCAAGATAAAATTCAACACTAAAATAGCACATCTAGTCTATTGTCTCGGTCCTTTAATATAATATAAGCTCTCTGAAAAGGAGGATTATTTTGTCTACTATGTTCACTATTGAAGCTTTAGCACCTAGAAAAGTGTTTGGAAAGTCGCAGTGTTCACTAAGTATTCAGTAAATAAATGAATGCATAATAAGCAGATGTTCAGTTACTGTTCATCAAAAGAAAAAAGATATTCAGTTCTTATTAAAAACAAAAATATACATTTGTGCAGGGCATGGTGGTTGAAGCCTGTAATCCCAGCACTCTGGGAGGCTGAAATGGGAGGACTACTTGAGGTCACAGTTCAACATCAGCCTGGCCAACATGGTGAAACCCTGTCTCTACTAAAAATACAAAAATTAGCTAGGCATGGTGGTGCGCACCTGTAGTCCAAGCTACTAGGGAGGCTGAGGTGGGAGAATTGCTTGAACCCAGTAAGTTGCAATGAGCCAGGATTGTGCCACTGCACTCCAGCCTGGTTGACAGAGCAAAACTCCATCTCAAAAAAAAAAAAATCTGTAATTTCAACCCACTAACAGAACATTGGGATACTATTTAGTCAATAATTTTGTTGCCTTGGACAATGTAGTGATGAAGAGAATGATACCCATAATCAAATAGTCACCAGATAAATACTGGCTACAACACTTAATAGCTGGATGTCCTTGGGCTAAATTATTTTACTTGAGGAACCATAGATTCCTCCTTAGTATATTGAAGAAAATTAGAACTCATGTAAAAAGGTTATTGTGATCAATGAGAATATGTGTATATGTTTATAACTTTTCATCAGTAATGTTAATTATCATCATCATTGCTATTACCTTCTTTTTTCATTCCCGCTCTAAAACACTTTCTTAATCGACAATATCTACATTGATTCCTTTTGTCCTTGTCAACAACACATTGTCGACTGAACCTATAACATCAAACAAAGATATATTAGCTCTCAGAAAATGATGATTTACAGAAAAGCAAACAGACAAATGGGTTTTAAATATGTATTGTCACATATGATAGGAACAATCAACTATGACCTTCCCAGTCTCACAATCAGCATGTGCGTGAAAACACAAGCCTCACCTCTCAGTCTTTATAGCAAAATAAAACTGAATGACTATCTTCATTTTGGATGGTGTGCATAACCATTTCTATTATGAGTCATGAAAGCCAAACCTAGTTTGGAAACTCTTTGGCTTACAAGTTTTTGTTGCTTTTTGCCAAATGATTTCAGTATGAAGGAGGCTATTATCAGAACTTCATGGCTCTGCATCTTCATGCTTTTCTCTTTTTAAATATTCTATTAATTTTAAGTGTACCCCACATCCCACTGAAGTTTACCCTAAATGGCAAATTATATATCAAGAAGTCATTGAGGACAACACTGAGAGTACAGTCGGCATAATGGAGTAAGACTTCACACTCATTTGAATGGCTATAAATGAAACAAAGGAAAAACAAGTGTTGGCGAGGATGTGGAAAAATTGGAACCCTCGTACATTGCTGGTTAAAATGTTAAAGGATGCAGCTGCTTTGGAAGGAAGTTTAGCACTGTCTTAAAAAGCTGAACATAGAGTTACAGTATAACACAGCAATGCCATGCTTCGTCTGTATGGAGAAAAATGAAACATATGCACACATTAAAAACTTGTTCATAAATGTCTATAGCAGCGTTATTCATCACGGTTAGAAAGTGGAGACTATCCAAATGCCTGTCAATTGATGATAGAAAAACAAAATCTGGATGATAGAAAAACAAAATCTGGTATGCCTGCACAGTAGAATATCATTATTTGTCTGTAAATAATGATATTACTTTATCAGGGATGAAGTACTGATAAAGGCTACAACATGGATAAACCGTGGCAACCTATTCTATTCTAAATGAAAGAAGTAAGACACAAGAGATCACATATCATATGATTTTGTTTATACAAAATGTCCTGTAATGGCAAGTCTGTAGAAACAGAAAATAGATTCATAGTGGCCTCATATTGTTGAGGAGGGAGTTGGGAGGAAATGAGGGAGTAACTGCTAAAGGTTTCTTTATAAGGGGATACAAATGGTCAAATTTTACTGTACTGATGGTTGCACGACTCTGGATACACTAAAAAACTCACTTGTATACTTAACCAGACAAACAAACAAATAAAACAAACAGTACAGCCTCTGAAATGAAATCTGAGCTTGATTCTACCATCGACTCTCAGCAGAACTTGGGGATGTTAAGTAACATCAGTTTACAATTGTAAAATAAAGAGAAGTATTTGCCCTAAAGATTGTTGTGTGTATATACTTCAAATAGTTGGAGACAAACAGTAAACGCTAACATTTCTTCAAAATTATGGCACAAAATTATCTATACATATTGATATTACCTGTTTATTTATAGCTGATAATGATAAGAATAAAGACATGTATTGTGTGACCTATACAAAATATTTCTTCTAAAAACTACTGGTGGCCACTTAAAATTGAATGAGAAGCAAAACCTATCATCAATAAATTGAGCTAGAAGAGAAATGTGCTTTCAGGGTGAGGAACAAGTTATTACTCATTTGGGAACAAATGAATGAGACTCAGGAGAGAGGACCAGATTGATAAAAAACACAAGGAGAATGCATTCGATTAACATTAAATTAATAACAAAAATTGAATAAACATATTCTATTAAGCACCTACAGAATACAAGATCCTGGTGTAGGGATTAAACAGATTAGCACTACTTGTCTCCTCTACTCAAGGAAATCACAATCTAATAGAGTACACATACAAATTGTACATAATGTGAAAAATGTAACATGAAAAGTATTGAAACAGCAATTAAAAGTGCTTTTGAAGGAAAGCCCAACCTCAGTGTGATGGAGCAGTTAGAGTAGAAATGGAATTTTGTAATCTAAGAAAATAGATAAATTTGAGACCAGCACAACCTGAACTCAGAAAACCTCCATGACCCTAAACTTGCATCAATATTCTAACGATTTTTTCAAATAAAAAATTATAACATTTGCTGAATACTAAAATATATACAGAAAGCTAGGTCGGCAGTAGCATTCCTAATACGAAGGTGCAGGAGTTAAACTGTATCTGTTGTTAGAATACTTTTTAAACCTCTAAAAACTGTTCTGAGAGCATTCCTTTCCCACTCTTCCATACAGAAAGGACAGACATCCTGGCTGCCTTTGTGATTCTCTGATTATCACAAGTTGTTTTGGATTTAGTTGTTTGGATCACCATTACACACACACACACACACACACACACACACACACGTATTTCACTTTTAGCAGAGCACATAACTCCAGAAGCTATGGTTTACAGCTTATTCTGTATTTGTTTTAGTTATTAATTTTTAGAACCACTCATAGAAAAGTATTTTTGATGAAGGAAATTGATCTACCTTTAGAGTTTTAATGTAAATAAAAGCAAAACTCAGCTAAATACACTTTTTCTGTTTACCTAGAAAGTTTTTAAAGTGGGCAATTTATAGTTCTGTTAACCTGCCTCAAAGTATCTTGAAATATTACTATAGAACTAGATTACCAGAGAACTAGATAGACATTTGGGTAGTAATATATTAACTTGTATTGTATCCCAGGAAATCACATGGCCACACTTTGAGAGAGTTAATTTCTTCCCAAATGTTCAACTTGTTCTTAAAAGAACATAATTCTATACATATCTTTTATTGATAGAACAAATACAGTTTTTTTTCTGTTAATCAGTCATTTTTGTTAATAGCCTATATTCAATTTAAATGTAATCTGCATTCAGGACAGTCATATAGATGAATAATGATGCAAATGTATACCTAAATCATGTTATAATGTTGACTAGGTTTTAATCTAAAATTAAAAAAAAAAAACAAGAAAACAGCCTACTGGAAATGGGTGACACATATAATATAGTTAAATAAGCATCCGACAAAACATTTAAATTTAATGACAAAAGATATGGCATGCGAAATACATTTTAAATTTTAGGACTGAAAATTAAATTTCACTCATTAGTATCAGCAAACTACCCAAATAATCTGCACTTTTATAATTCTGTTTTTAGACCTAGGATGTAATGGCATTTAAAAAATCAACATGAAGAAAAATATTCATATTGAACAAGCTTTTGAATGCAGATTTTAAAATATTGGAGGTATATGAACATGTGGTAAAACAATAAAGAAACACAAGGAAAAGATAACACAAAATTGCAATGGTAATTACCTCTAAGAGACTAGGGAGGAAAAGTGACAGAGAAGGTGTCCATTAAAGGCTTCAACTATATTGGTCTAAGCTGGGTGATAGGTGGATTTTTATGTACCTTCTATAGGTCTAAAATGTTTCATAAAAAATTACCACCTATGTGAATAAATCCTGCAATGCATACCTACACATTCTTACTTGTTGTGCGAAACTGAAACACCTATAGAGATAACTCTCCTAAAAGGGCATTTAAAGTACCTGCAAGAATAAATGTGACTCTTGCGAATGCTGCGTCTGAAGAAACCCTTGCACCCGTCACAGCTCGATGCCCCATAGTGTTTTCCTGTTGCTCTGTCCCCACAGATGGCACACAGACAGTTGACACCGTTGTCTGCGGTATTCATACTTGTCTCTGGGGCAGAACTATCTGTCAATGAAAAAGGAAGATTGCAGCTAGAGTTAGCACTGTTTCCTGATTAAATTGTTCAACTAATTATTTATAGGCTCAAAACAGTCCATTTGTTGGCTTCTGGGAGACCCAACACTAGTGCTTCCCTTTTAACCACTGGCTGCTTCCGTTCCAAGCTCTCCTTGCTTATTTCTGAACATTTAACTCAGAGACACCATAGACTTAGTTCTCCAACTATACTCTTTTCCAAGGGAAGTTTATCAGTCCCATGACAATAAGTATTGGCTGTAGGATGAACAAGTCCAATATTTTATCTCTAGCCCTGATGTCTACAATGGGCACCAGTCTGAAATGCCCAGGCACCTGTTGAAGAACTTCATTGTGAAATCTAATCAGAATTGTAAATTAATGTATCAAAAACAAAACTCTCATTTTTCCCCTAGAACTTGTTCTTCCTTCCTTCAGTCTCCCTATATCAGTCCATGGTTCCATCCAATTTCCCAGGGCCAATAATCTGTGAGTCTTTATTGTATTCTCTCCTTTATCTTTTATAACCAATCCCTTGGTAAGTCCATGTTTACAATACTTTTTATTTATTTATTTAATTTTTTGAGACCGAGTTTCCACTGTCGCTCAGGCTGGAGTGTAGTGGTGCGATCTGCACTCACTGCAACCTCTGCCTCCGGGGTTCAAGCAATTTTCATGCCTCAGCCTCCCAAGTAGCTGGGATTACAGATATGTGCCACCACACGAAACTAATTTTTGTATTTTTACCAGAGACAGGGTTTCACCATGTTGGCCAGGCTGATCTTGAACTCCTGACCCCAGGTAGTCCACCTGTCTCAGCCTCCCAAAGTGTTGTGATTACCGGCATGAGTCACCACACAGGGCCTGAAATACATATTTAATCCACAACTTTTTACCATGGACATCCTTGTTCAACCAACCATCTTTCCTCTAGATTATGGTAACAGGTTGCTATCTAAATTCATTCCTTCCATCCTTGCTGCCCTACTGTTTGTTACCCCACAGCCACCTAAATGATCTTGTTATGACAAATTTACAACATTGGAGGAACAGGAATGCTTTTACACTGTTGCTGGGAGTGTAAATTACTTCAACCATTGTGAAAGACAGTATGGCGATTCCTCAAGGATCTAGAACTAGAAATATCATTTGATTCAGCAATCCTATTACTTGGTATATACCCAGAGGATTATAAATCATTCTATTATAAAGACATATGCATCCATATGTTTATTGTGGCACTGTTCATAATACCAAAGACTTGGAGCCAACCCAAATTCCCATCAGGGATAGACTGGATGAAGAATATGTGGCAAATATACACCTTGGAATACTATGCAGCCATAAAAAAGGATGAGTTCATGTCCTTTGCTGGAACATGGATGAAGCTGGAAACCATCATTCTCAGGAAACTAACACAGGAACCGAAAGCCAAGCACTGTACGTTCTCACTCATAAGTGGGAGTTGAACAACGAGAATATATGGGCACAGGGAGGGGAACATCACAGCCCAGGGCCTGTCAGGGGGTAAAAGGCTTAGGGAGGGGTAGCATTAGAAGAAATACTTAATGTAGATGATGTGGTGATGGATGCAGCAAATCATCATGGTACATGTATATCTGTGTAACAGACCCGCATGTTCTGCACATGTATCCCAGAACTTAAAGTATAATAATAACTTTTTAAAAAAGAAATTCACATCATGTCACCCTCTGCATCCAACCCTGTTATAATGAGATACAGAATAAACTATAGGCATCTTACCAAGGGCTGTAAACCCTGCATGTCAGCCCCTCACTACAACTCCCCCAAATCTCTGATCCCAGTATCTGGTACCACTTTTCATCCAGTTCACTATTCTCCAGCAATATTGTCTTCTTTTTTTTTTCTTCCATCGTCTCAAAACTTGTTCACTTACCGTTCCTTCTGTCTGGGAGGAAAGCTCTTCCCTAAACCTATCTTTGAGCTAGCTACCAAGTTTCTGTTAACATTTCACGTTTTCTGTGAAACCTCTGAACACACGTTTAAAAAGTCACCTCCCATCTGTCCTTCAAGTAGAACCTAAAGCCCTGTGTATTTTACATATTATCATTATTTTTTGAGTCAGGGTCTTGCTTTGTCAAGTGCAGTGGTGCAATCCTAGCTCACTGCAGCCTGGGCCTCCTGAGCTCAAGCAATTCTCCCACCTCAGCCCCCTGAGTAGTTGGCACTACAGGAGCACCCCACCACACCAAGCTAGTTTTTAAAGTTTTAATTGTAGAGACAAGGTATCACTATGTTGCCCAGGTTGGTCTTAAACACTTGGGCTCAAGCAATCCTCGGGCCTCAGCCTCCCAAAGTTCTGGGACTGTAGATGTGAGACACCACACCTGGCCTTAGTTTTTAAAATAACTTTATTTCTGAAAAATATATTCTGTATTGGTCTGCTCATTTATTACCCATCTTTACAAACTGACTCTAAGCCCCATGATGGTAGAGAATTTATCTGTTTTATATATTCCTCTGTTTTCCAGATTTTAGGATTATGCCCAGAATATGGTGGTCATCTAATACATAGTTCTGAAGAAAGAATTATTTTTAAAATGTAGATATTTATAATAAAATAAATATTCCTTAAATGAGTTAATATCATGGATTACATCTTAAGAATCTGTATGCATTCAAAAGATATTAAATATGTAATACAGTAAAACTTTATTATAAAATTATATATATTAACTAATTATTGTATGTCTAACAAAAGGATGAAACTAAAGGTTGTTATGTCCTGATTACATTTCATGACATTACATATATGCTACTTACTAATGCTTCTGAGCAGACAAATATTGTCATATATAATTTCATGAAGTTGGAAAAAAACCTTAATGAACATATGCTTAGTTAATCATGTGACAATATAGGATTAAAATGCCGCAAATTTTGTTTTTGGTGACATTAACAACACATATATTAACAATATGAAAGTTAGAACTGTTTGGAGTTTATTGTATTCTGAGAGACTACATAGAAATATGAAAAATTCACCTCTTGCTTCAAGTTTAGTGCCATACTTACATATTGCTGAAAACACTGTTACAAACAAGTTACATCACACTTTGCATATAGCCATACAAATTCATTATTTTAGAATATTTGTTAAACACTTATAGTAAATAAGTGTTATGATATGGTAATTATGCCCTTGCCATTTCTTAATCATGAGTGTTTTTTTAAAGTCATGATTCTGATGAAATACTCTATTAAATATCCCTAATCAAGTCTAAACATAAGACACAAAACAGTGACTTCCTGAAAGTTGCACTACAGATTTATTTTAACTATATGTGTGCTAAAGTTTCAGAATTCAACTTTTAACTATGTTTTAAACCTCCACTAAGAAGGAACTGCTTATTGTAAATAGAACCAGAACACCAGTCATACAAATTGTGCAGTACAGTAGAATAGTAAGAGGTCCTCAGTACAAGATATATTCTCAGTCTTGCATTAAACACACACACACACACACACATTTTCCAAAGTATACATAATTACTCAATCTTAGGAGTTCTATCAGTTATAACATATTTTAAACAAGATTTTTTTTACTAGGAATTAAGTCTAAATTCAAAGTCAAAAGTAAGCTGTACTACATAAAGGCACAAACCCTAAACAACTCATGTCTTATTTAAAGTTAAAATGTTACAGTAATTAAATACCAACAGCTTTGTGCAGCTAAACATTAGCCTGACAAGTTAGGTTAGAATATAAACTTTATTTCCTTTCATATTAGCATTCAATGCAAAAACCTGATAGTATTTTAAATGCGGTTTCTCATCAGTAGCATTTGAGAACTGGAATAATAATGAAAAGAGTAGACAATCAGTAAAACTCCCTAGTGTTCTGTGGAAACTTTGTTCCATAGGTCATTTTAAACATTGCATAGAAAATATACTTTCACAGCCCATCTGCCGATATTACTTATTACTGTGATTTACAGCAAATAAAATAATGGCTGCATCTACTCTTTTTGCCTCTCTAACTGGCCCATGACAGAATTCTGAAGTTACTTTATTACACAAAACCAGGTTTTTTTCTACCTCTAAGATAAAATAGCCCTAGCATTATTAACTTAAATTTTGTAAGAAAGTGCAAAAGCTCAGATTTGTGGCTTTAAAAGAAAGACATAAATTCTCCAGAAAAAAAAGTAAAAATAATACATTGCGCCACCACCTTTGGAAGCTCAGTCTACCTTCTCCAATTATATTTACTTTTCTTTACATATATAAACAGATGATAACTCACCATTTGAATTATACAGAATCTGCATAGTTTCAAACTCCAAAGTCGTGTAAGTTGGATCCAAAACTTCACTGTAATTTGCCATGTCCATGTCTAATATTGGTTCTGATACCCTCATCATTGATTTAGAAACACACATACAAGTGGAACCACAAGCCCAGAGTGTGTGATGAGTGTTTTGCTTTCAATCTGTGAGTGATAATCCAAAGTTAATGTAAATGAGTGACTTAAGAGCTTCAGTGGGAGGGGCTGTAAAACTGTAACCTTCTTTGGCAGGCCATATTCAGCTTATTTCTTCTTTTATGGCATATGAAAGCAATTCCTTGTGATAATCTTGGAATGCTTCATGAAATAGCCTTATCTGAAGGGCTTAGTGGACTAACATGATTTCCTAAATTGATTTCCAGTAACAATAAATGAGATCATTAGGAGAATAATTAAAAATTGAAAAGAAAATCTCACAGATTTTAAACCATAATAATAATGTCAGGTATCCCATTTAAGGAGCTGAAATTACATACTTCATATTCTGAAAAATGGCACTTACTTTACTGTTACAAATTTGGTAAATCAAGTCTGGAAGTTACCATTTCCCATAAACACTTTACAATTCCAAGTTTTCTTAAGTGTACAATAAAGCTACTTTTATTCTGGAGTAAAGGAAATTTTGTAATTTGAAATGTGAGGATTTGTGACATACTCTGATAGCCCCTAGGCATAACCCTGATACGGCCTTTAACAATATTCTCTTTAATTATCTATTTATGGGCCTGTGTCACATTTATGTCAGTAAACTTCCCAAGCACAGAAGTAGTACAGCTGCTAGTACATTAGAGGCATTTACATAGCTGCTACATATATCATGTTTCATTTCTTTTGAATCCTGATGCCATTAAACTGAAATAAAATCATCCCTAACATATATAGATCTGTATATTCCTATAGTCAATCCTCATCTATATAGCACAGTATATATTTTATGTGTATATTTGACAAGGAACATCTAGGGTTTGGGGAATATTTAGACAATAGTACTCAATGAATATATTTTACTTCTGAAAATACATTTATTGATGTTATTTTTAAAGACTTCCAACCCCATTTGCATTAGAAATTTAGAATGTTCTTTTCCACATTCATTAAAGATTGCAGCAAAGTAATATTTCTTAACCAATTTTTTAACCATAATCCTTATGAATAATTTGTCTTAGAAATTAGTGTACTTTTCACCTGAGAAGGCTGGTCTCTTAAAGTACTCTAAACCATGTGACAAAATGTAAAGAAAATAGCTCATCGATGATAGACTGGACTGGGAAAATGTGGCACATATACACCATGGAATATTATGCAGCAATCAAAAATGATGAGTTCGTGTCCTTTGTAGGGACATGGATGAATCTGGAAAACATTCTCAGCAAACTGACACAAGAACAGAAAATGAAATACCGCATATTCTCACTCATAGGCGGGTGATGAAAAATGAGAACACATGGTCACAGGGAAGGGAGTACTACACACTGGGGTCTACTGGGGGGAATAGGGGAGGGACAGCACAGGGCGGGGAGCTGGGGAGGGATAGCCTGGGGAGAAATGCCAAATGTGAGTGAAGGGGAGGAAGGCAGCCAAACACACTGCCATGTGTGTACCTATGCAACTATCTTGCATGTTCTGCACATGTACCCCAAAACCTAAAATGCAATTAAAAAAAATAAAAAAATAAAAAAGGGCAGCCAAAGAAAAAGGAGGAATGGTAATTAAAAAAAAAAGAAAGAAAATAGCTTAGAGTCAATTTGCCAGCCAGATTCACTAAATCAAACAGCGATCATTGGAATAGTCCTCTTGTCCTCATATTCTGTATATTCTTAATTGTAAGGATATCTTGAAATAAACTTTCTTTTTTGACTGACTTTCTTTAATGAAGATTAGACATAGGTTATTCAGTTTTTAGAGAAGTAGACAGAAGTGGTTGTTAGTCTGTGGTTTTTATTTGTGTGAAGTGGTCCTTATTTTATTTTATTTTATTTATTTTTTTTTTTTTGAGATGGAGTTTTGCTCTTGTTACCCAGGCTGGAGTTCAATGGCGCGACCTCTGCCTCCTGGGTTCAGGCAATTCTGCCTCAGCCTCCTGATTAGCTGGGATTACAGGCACGCGCCACCATGTCCAGCTAATTTTTTGTATCTTTAGTAGAGATGGGGTTTCACCATGTTGACCAGGATGGTCTCGATATCTTCACCTCATGATCCACCCGCCTCGGCCTTCCAAAGTGCTGGGATTACAGGCTTGAGCCACCGCGCCTGGCCAGTGGCCTTATTTTAAATGAGTTAACAAACATATGTTTTCTATAGGAACCAAAGGGACGAATTGCGCAGGGCCTGAAAACTTTTTAAACTCTGAAATAACTAACCAATATAGAGGGATGTCACTGATGGAAATGTCCCAACAGAAGAAAAGGTAAAAGAGAAAAAATAGAAAAAGTTTATTTATAGATATGGAAAACACTGAAAGAAATGTGGCTGTAGCTCAGGAGAACAATGCTGCCATAGTTTTATCTTTCTTCCCCAGTCTGTTCGCATGGCTGACTGACATCACTGGATCAGAGCATTCAACTCTCAGGTGAAAGGGGCTACAGATGAATCTCAGCACAGATCTTCAAGTAGCAATTAACGACTAATCAGAGCTAGCTTTTAAGAAGAAACCTGTGTCCCATTTTTGTTACTGTAAATTGTTTTCTTCACTTCATAGAGTAAGAACTCAAGAATTTCCAGAAGATACGGTAGATCTGAATAGCATGCATGTCTCCTCAAGTGGGTAGTCTTTGTAATGATCTTCAGATGTAGAAACACCTATGGAATTCAGTCAGCCTCAGCCTAGCAAAGAAAGAAGTTTCTTCGGCTTTTCTCTGGAGGAGAGTACAAAGCACAGTGGAATCCCTCTTTTCTTAAATTCTAGGACTCATAATTTATGGAACTGATTAAGCAAACAAAATAATTAAAAAAGAAAGTCATAAAAAAGGTATATCCTTACTTCATAGCTTCTTTTACATAGCGGGATATGGCTGCTGGCTGCTACTGTTTATAAAACAAAGAACTTTTCGTTAAGAATACACTGATTAAGATTCTTAACTAATTTTTTTTTTTGCATAAGTCTCATACATTGCCTTTGATTTCTAGAAAATTATTGTTTATGAAGAAAAAGTTAAAGCCACTCATAAAGCAATCCAAAGCAAAAGTTCTAGAAGCCTTCTAGAGTTTTAGTTTTTCAAAATATTGTCTATACTTCAATTGGCTTTTATCTACTGCCACAGTATTTCCCATGGTTTCTATAAGGGAGGAAAAAATGAAAGTCTTTTGGCCAAGTACAGTGGCTCACGCCTATAATCCCAACACTTTGGGAAGCCGAAGTGGGAAAATTGCTAGAGGCCAGCAGTTCGAGGCCAGCAGTTCGAGGCCAGCCTGGGCAACATGGTGAAACCCCATCTCTACTAAAAATACAAAAAAACTAGCCAGGCATGGTGGCGTGGGCGTGTAATACCACATACTGTGGAGGCTGAGGCAGGAGACTTGCTTGAATCTGGTAGATGAAGGTTGTAGTGAGCCAAGATCACGCCCCTTCACTTTAGCTGGGGCAACAGAGTGAGACTTTGTCTCAAAAAAATAAAATAAAAGCCTTTTAATGATCATGTTGTATTAGATTGCACAATTTTTAAATGAAATTGTGAAATGAAATAACAAGAACTAATGGCAGTAATACACTAGGTAACAAATACAAACAATTCTTGATAAGTGTATAAAGTTGATAAGATGTGTCTAGCCTGAAAACTAATTCGTATGATCTACAAAGGAAATTGAGAATTTGAGTTAATTTCAAATTTTGGCTACATGGAAATTAGAGTTTCTCTTGTATTGATTTTAACTTGAAATAACTTTTATTTATAAATTAACATATTTCTCTTTATAACGAATCTTCCTCTCTACTTCTGAAACTAGTTAAGCCATATTGAGAAAATTTTTATTTATTTAAAGAGGAGAAAGGGAGCATGAAGAGGGAGAATGAGAAATAAAAAAAGACGAAAAGAAGTCACAGAGAAATAATTTAAGTTACAGTTCAATTTAGGTTTTCAGTTATGCATCATAATGAGAACAAACAGCATTTTCTTAATACTAATTCTTTGTGTTTCCCATTTATTAATGATTGTGGAGTTTTCTTAACTCAGTAAACATGTGTATGGCACAATTGAACAAAATGAAACCATTAAATTAAGTTACATAAACCTTAGATACCTGACACAGTTATGGTGTTTCTTTATACATATTCACATTAAATTCAGTAATTTTAAGCAAAAGGACTGATGGTTATCAGCCAAGCAGCCTTTCATTATGGCTTAATCAAGTATTATACATGGGTAAACTAATCAAGGCTACATTAGATTAAGAGCTTAAGTAGAACAAACTAACAAACAAATAAAAACACTGTATTAATTTTATGCATAGGTGATAGTTGAAAAATATTATCTTTAAATAAATGAGTCCTATATTATTAAACTCTACATTAAACAGAAATTTATGAGTGCTTTTAAGTTTACTTCTAAAGGTTTAATTGGGAAACGCATCACTCATACGTTAGCGTATAAAACAGTAATTTATAATTAGCACATAAAACAGTAATTTATAATAAGTAGCACACATTTTCTAAAGATATATAAATTTAATATAGATCAAACAATATAAATATATGACAAACTATGAACTACTGAAAATCTCTCTTAACATTACTTTCCAGTATTTGTTCTCTAAATTGAACAAAACTTTACTTTTACTTAGTGAAATCTCATGTTTTGTAGGCTAAGATGTGCCATCTTAGCCCTAGTCAGGTCAAATGCTCCAGAGAGAATGACAACATTATTTGCAGATAAATGGTCACTTTTAAATAGCACAACTAATGATGTTGAAAAATGTTTCTCTCACAGCAATGAGTCTCTAAACTAGCATGTGAAATATTTTATCTAAAGTTCTTTAAAGCAACATAACAAGCAGTGAAAACAGCATAGTGTTTAAAGAAGACAACAACTCAATTCACTATTGCTTCTCCAAGATAATAGCAGAAATAGTTCTATCTTATCTGGAAGACTATTAAGCCATTTAAATCGTTCTATACTTTATATTTGATTTAATCATTCTTTCACAGCATGATTTTAAAATAGAAAACAAGCTAATAAAATGAAGGATATTTTCATGAAATAATTTTCATGAAAGTAATTTGGAATGCTAATACCAATACATAAACATTTTATTGTAAAATTGAGTTAACAAAATTTGTTTCCTAAACTTATTTCTTTGAGA